TGGGCTAGGACTGGGTCTGGGGGCTCCCGGAACTCGGCAGAAAATCCTACTCGGCGGGCGGGGTGGGGGAGGCACTGCAGAGTGGTGTGGGGCGGCCCGAGGGGCTGGGAGAGGGTCCGGCCCACGCTGCGCCTGGGCTGGGACTGGTCCTGCTGGCACAGGGTAGCAGGAAACTCTCCGCACACTCACCGGACCTGGGCTAGGACTGGGTCTCCCTATGGTGTTTTTAGAAACAATGCTATGAAATGTGCCATTCTGATGTATAAGTACATTTTCAGAATTCATTGTGCTGTAACTGTAGGGTAGCCATGGCCCAGAAATACTGATCTGTCACTTGCCCAATTTCACTGTTTCTGATGGTGACTCACCAGAAGGTTTCTGCTAAAGAGACAGTTGTTTGTTAAATTTGTATTTTAAAGGTCTGTAAATTTGTGGGTATCTGGTTATATAACACTTGCTAACTATTGTAAAGAACATAAAGAAGGAATGTTTCCTTTCATCTGATTAGTGGGCTGAAGAGTCAAATAGGTGCATCAAAGGGGTTAGGTGTTTAATGCTTTTCAGTGGAGGTGACGAGAGAACACACTGTCTAACTCTGTCCTCCTCAGGTATTGAAAGAGAAATTCATTCAGCAAACATTTATTACGTCTCACTTTGTGCTCTACACTTTGTTAAGTCTAAGGGACAGAAGTGAATCAGTTATATTCTTCCTGTTCTCAGAGACCTTAAAGACCACTTAGTGCAGGAGGGAGACACATGGAAACAGATGCCCATAGGAGCAAGTTTGTGGCAAGAGCCAGACGAACACAGAGTAGGGTGGGTGTCCTGCCAGAGGAGGCTTGCAGGGAGCTTGCAATTCTCAACAGCACTTCAGAAATTAAATGCATATTTGAACCAGGAGGGTCTCTTTCAAAACCATACTGTGAATCAGTAGCTGTAGGGTGGAGCTGCAATGAGGAGCAAAGATCCAGGCAGACTTTGTATTCAGGGTATGGACCTAAGGAGCTGAATGAAAAGGGCCCATTTCATCACAGGGAAGGCAGAAGCACAACAGAGCAGACCTGTGACAGTGAACCTTCTAGAACTTTTAGTGGATAGCCCATTGCCACACTTGGGCCATAGGTTTGTACCCCTGGAGTGGCCTAAACTGTGGAGAGGGGTGGAGCATAGCATAAGAGGGTAGAAATTGGTAAGAACCAACTTCAGGACTGCCTTTATACCAGGGAAGAAGGTATAATTCCAATGTTTTCAGGCTTTTTTTTTAAAGAGGTGGATTGTATCTATAACTACTATAGATAAGCAATAAGCAAGAGAATGTCTGTTCAAGTTGGAATATGCAGCAAGGAATTTCAGATATGAGTGACATGGGATTCAGGGGTTAGCACTGCACGTGAGAATTTGGGTTTCATCTGTAGAGGGATTGAGTAGAGCATAAAATAAATAAAATACATTCTCCAATAAAATGAGTTTGAAGAGAATTGTAAGCAAAGCATGGACTGTGAGAAGTGCTAATATTTAGGTATTTGGTGTGAGTTATCAGGACAGTGTTTTCAAAGATGTCAGAGGATCAGAAGCATATGGATTTCAAGGGTAAGTGAAAATACTTGTCATGAGTAACAGCTAGAAATTTGAGCTGAGACTATTTACATTTCTCAAGTAAACAGGGATTAGAGAAATGAAGAAGAGACATGCTAATAATATAGCACCACCTGGTGTTAGGTATCTGGCATTCTTCAAGTGATATTTTTCTTATCCAATTGAATTTTTGTTTTAGTTGCCTTAAAATATTTTCACTGATTTAATTTTTATATGATAGCCTATTGTGTGCATAGAGTAATTTATTTATACACCCTCCACTTCATTATTGTTTTTATTTTCAGGAGGAGTTCAAACAAATTGTCTTCTTCTTTTTCCCCTAAATATGAATCATTCAAGTAAAACCAACTTAACAATAGAAATGTAGCAGAGTAAGGAGTAATTTATTTTTGTAAATTTATTTTTTGTAACACTACCAAGATGATCCTTATCAATTTATTTTTACTTTGATTTAATCTTTGCCAAAAGGTTTTCTCTTGCACAATTCCTCTGATTTGTCTTCCATTTCAGAGATGTGTTAGTTAATTACTTCAGATTACAGGGTTACGGCTATACTTATAGCCAAATGCCTCATTGTTTCTGTTCTTCTGCCTATAAATTGTTGGACATAAATATGTATGATCCTGAATATTGATTCTGACTGTTAATGCAGTTTGAGCTTATACAAGCTTATTAACAGGCCAGTTTTCAAAATGAATAGCAGTGAAAACTTTTATTTTTTTTTTAATTCTAAGGAAAAGCTGCATCCTTGAAAAGTGTACAGCCCTCTTGGGTGAATTTGCCTCGATCACTTCCTAAATCCAAAGCTTCTTTGAAAAGTCCTGCACTCCAGAGAACAGGCAGCACCCCGTCAGTCGGCAGCACCCACAGTGACCCAAGCACCTACAGCAGTAACTGTGAGTGGGCCCCTGTCACACTGTTGGGGTTTTGAAATGATAGTTACCAATAAAAACCATACTTTCTAAATAATTAGTAGAATATTTGTTTCTGTATTTTGGAGAAAATACATGCACTGCTTTTTTCGAATTATTCAGAAAGTTTGGAAAGATAAACACATTCTTTAAAACAATGTTCTTTTGATGAGCGTACAATGAAACACTGAAACAATTACGTGTTGACATCCATAAATTTTTTTTTCTGTATTTAGGGCAGGGTCTACAGGGTGTACAGGGTCTCACTACATAGATTAGACTCGTAGTGATTCTTCTGTGTTCAGCTTCCAAAGTACTGGGATTATAGGCGCGTGCCACCATGCCCAGTCTCAATGAGCCCCTGGGGCAGGGCTGGCATGGCAGGGCCTGGGATGGAACCTCACATCAATTCAAATGATGCCCTTTAGACCCTTTATGTTAGATTTTGCATAAAGGGTCTAATGGGCATCATTTGAATTGTTGGTATTTTGAGATTTGTTTAACAGAAGAATAGTAACCTAGGAGCTCTTGGAACCCTACTAGAAATCAGACAAAAAGATCACTGCAGTTCTATTTACTTTACAAAAGACTGAATCTTATTAATACGTTTTGTAAACTTTTACTTTGAATGCTAGATTCAGTGCAGTATGACCAACGTAACTTCAAACCTAATTCTAAATAATTTAAACTCAGTACATTTTTTAAGTTTTAAGTTAATGTAAATTTTTGTTGTTGTTATACAGTGGGTGAATTAATTCAGCCATTCTTTTTCTTTCAAAAGGTGTATTTGGATTTAGTACTTTTTTTTCACTACCTTTGTAAATAAACTCCAAATAACCTACAATGTTAACAGTTCTGACAGTTCTGACATGTCCTTGTGTTGCCTAGGTAACGTGAAAGGTGTAATAGCCCTTAGCTACAGACTTCTTCAGCTGTACATATGCAAAGGTGGTAGAGCTCAAGGGCGGATAATGAACCTGATCCTTATTTTAAAGTTTTTCCTTTTTATCTTAAATGCTAAAAATTAAGTTTTTCTACCTCTATTGATGCAAGCGAATTATCATAGCCTTTGTTATCAGAGTAAATGTGAAAGACAATGTGAATGAAATGGCCCTTTCTCTAAAATGAAGTTGAGGAAAAAGATGGTATTTGCTTGGATGACTATATTAGATAAAACAGGATGTAAGCAATGAGAAGGAGTGCAGAATTGTTCTCTTTGCTTCAAGCACAGATCAACTTCTTTTAGGCGAGACAATAGGGACAAAGCAAAATAATGGTTAGTGAACATACCTGAGTGTGGAGAAGTACTATAGGACATTATAGTATTTTTTTCCTTTTATTTTCATGAAGTAACTTCTGTTGTTACTTTGATTTGACCTATAAGTTATTGAGGCGCAGAGACATTGCCACTGGTCCAAAGTCACACAGCATATATGTGACACAGTAGTTATTGGAGAATAAGACATTGAGTTAATGACAGTTATTGACCACATTTCTGACAAAGCCACTTAGCAGTAACTGCTTTCACTTGCAGGTAAGTATCTGTGTACTGACACTTTAGGAATCCTGAAATACGTTGCTTAAAACTAAAGACCAGTATGTGCTTATTGTTTGAATTTTGACCTCATTGCAAAACCCTGAAGAGTTTGCATGTAACAGCTAATTCTCTGTGAAAAGCTTATTCACACTTGTGTTATTTTAAGATGGTTTCCCTCCTAGCCCTCTCTATTCTAGTGTGAATTTATAAAGCAAACTCAGAAAACAGAACCACTGGTGTGCTCTCAAAGCCGCTGCATTGGACTGGTGGCACTTACAGCAAACACACTGTGACATGCTGCAACCCAGGCTTCCCACGCACAGCCATGTTGGCCACCATTTCAGTGCCGTGCCTGACACTCCTAAAAGAGGCTGTAAAGTCCTTTTGTCCATTGCTTTTTGTCTGTTAACAAAAGGGTTTGCCTTACACCCACAGAGCCTGTGTAGTGGTGATGTGTCCCTCGTGCAGATTAGGCATGCCAATCAGTGAGTCTCTTTCTTAGTTTGATTTGCTAGCTGGTTTAATCTGTTTTGTGTAGTGCCTGGGAGCTTACAGATTTCCCCCCTCTATTCTAATGCACTAAGAGCAAGCATGAGGGATATGAGACCGAACATGGCTGCAGTTTTTCCTGCTTGAGCTTGCTTTGATCCTTTTAAATGACTATACCAGGAGGATTTCGCAGTTGTACAGAAACTGATATTTCTTCAAAAATCTTTATCAATTCTACACTCACCCCGCCGGCTGGTTCAGAGAGGCACTATGATGCTACCTTATTGACACTGCTGGTCGTGGGATCCTACAGCCTTTGTATAATTCCTTTGTTAGCCACGTTTACTGGGAAAAGAAGTAGGTCGACGATTTCTGGTTTGATTCTTTTCTTTGTAAGCATGCTTAAATTTTAATTCAATAAATTGATTTTAGGACCTCTTGATTGTTATTGTTGCAATTTGTAATTTATGTTACTGTTATATTTCTTGCACATGTTTATGTTTATTTAAGATGTGAATGCTTTTACCAGAACCAATTTTATTTATATTTTATGTGTTCTGGAACTCTTACTAAATATAATTTAGAGGCATTGTTGGTATTCTTGACATATGAAATTGTCTTATTAAAGACTTTTGTGGTTTAATTTTTTTATTAAATAGGAGCTTTTGTCTATGTAGCATACAATTGTGTATAAAATACTCTCCTAGAATTAAATTGGAACATTACATGTTTGACTGTTTTCTTCAATTATACTATACCTAATATATAATTCATACAAAAGTGTGGAACATGTATCCATTTTTAATGACTACGTCAAAAATATGAAAAATTTGAGCTGAAATTATTCTGCTTCTGGTAATGAAGGATCATGTTAGGAAGTAACTTCTTTTGATCAGTGTTTTGATTCTGACTGGTTTAAGCATTTGAACAATTCTAGAGAATGTTCTCTTTCTTTGATCATTTCTTTGTGATATAATATTGTCAGTGACATCGTTTAAGAACTTCTGAGCTAGCAAGGTGTTATTGTGGCAAGAAGCATCTGTTCTTGATACCACGGGATCCCATATGAATAACATCATAAGTTGTAACCTGACTGAACGAAGGCAGTATTGTTTTTATTTGGGAGTTTTAACAAGTTCTTTGTGTTAAGTATAGAAAAATTTGAAGTTGGAATAATGATTTCCCTTGGGCGTTAACATAAAACATTGCACAGTATTTTTTGTGGCAGATCTTCTCCTTTATGGTGGCTCAGTATTATAAGCTCTTTCAGACTCAAATACCTAATGTTCAGTGTTTCAGGCTATTAAAGTAATTGGAGAGAAAAAATGATGCTAAGTTGACTAGAATGGTTTATAGATCATTGTGCAACTTAGAAGGAAATCTTGAGAGAGTGCGTAATTTTGTAACATTAGCAGGAATATGAAGTCCGGAGGCTTCTTTATCCTTCCTGTTTGCTCATAAAGGCATATTTATTTTTGAGAGGCAGATGGTGTGAGGCAGTGTAAGAGGTGCAAGCCAAAGCTGTTTGTACTCCTTGGAAATAGGAGATCAGAAGGAGACTAAATAAAGTAGCTTGTTCTTTTCCTTCACCTTGTGGCTAGCCCTGCTGAGATGGGGTGATAGAAAAGGGTATCAGCTCACCTCAGGCTTATCCTAGCTTTTCTGTGGACTTGTGTGAAGGTAGACAATCTGAATGAAAGCAGAGGCCTAGATCATCCTCAAGAAAATGTTTCTGACATTTTAATTTTCTTTACTGTAATAAGATAATGCATTATTGTTGTTGTTGTTGTTGGCGGAACCGGGGATTGAACTGAGGCCCTTGTGCTTGCCAGGGAAGCGCTTATTCCACTGAGCCATCTCCCCGGCCCCTAAGAGAATGCTTAATAGCTACAAAGGAGAATGTTTTGAGTTGTTCAGGTGACTAAGCTGGTAGAAAGGAGGATGAGTCTCTTAAAAGTGCTCACTCGTTTTGCTTTTGTTTTTCTCATGGCAGGAACAGTAAGTGAGTATGGTCATTTAGTAAGAAGCAGCTGTAAGTGGTGTTGCTTTCTCAGGGTGCTTGCAGGTTCAGAGGCAATTGTACATTTGACTAGTGATGTCTGCCATAAGTGAAGAAGATGTAAGGGGCAGACCATAATAGACAGTGGGCTCTGCATTATATGTTAGCACTTAGGCACTTCTGAGTAGACTACTTGAGAAGCAAACATTACCCAGACCACTATTTGTTCACATTCATTCATTTTTAATGTGTACTTTAGAGCAGAATGAGACAATCTCATTATTACAGAGTTGAGTGAGTTTGCTTCAGAAAAGTGTAAATTTATTCAATAGTGATTTGATTTTAAGCCAGGTGGGCAGATGAGCTGGCATAGTAGAGAGTGTTAAGCTGACTCACATGGTGTTCAAGAAATGAGCAGCATGTTGGCTTTGTGTGTATGTACATAATTTAATAAACAAAAATGAATTTCAACTGATGGCAGAATGTAGTGAAATACTAGTTTGCAAATAGAAGTCTAAGGCAGCAAGCAGCCTATTTCTTATGCTTACAGTTTTCTGGGAATATTGCTTTATTTTTATAGGCTATCATCTCTCTTCCTCTTCACTTGAAACACATTTTGGACTGAAAAAATACAGGAAAATAAAGATTCCAGAGGCTGTGTTATTCTAGTGTAACTTAGATAGTAAGGGCTAAAGAGGGCAACGTAACAAGGAGTATTTTTATTTGCATGTTATAGCTGAGACCCAAGTGACCTCAAGTGGAAGTTCACACATTGACTTCATAGACCCAATTGTCCTTGTGTTGTCCTGGCTGTGGCCCCAGAGCATGTGTCAGGATGATTCTGAGGATACATCTGGCCTCAGAACTGTACCATAGTTAGTAGTAGAGCCCGTGTGTCAATGTATGTATCTGTTCCCATAAGCGGTGTCCATGCCCACCTGTTCTACCTAGAAAGGTGAAGTGATTCAGTCCATTATGCATGGCCAGGTAAGGACTAGGACTTGTATAGCCTAGAACCCATTCCATTACTTGAAACAGTTACCCTTTTCTTAGCTAATTAGAATTAACTAAGGAATTGACTGAGGCATTTATCATCCAAGTATAATAACTTTGGATGAGAAAATATTTAGATATCAGGATACCAGGTCCACGCCATATTAGGGTCCATCATGCCTCAAAGTAGTACATATCCTTCCATTTTGGGCTTGCTAAAAAGCAATGGACCAGCTGAGAGTGTTTGGAGAATCAAGGCAAAAAGTTTTTGATCATAAAAGTTTGTTCAGTTTAGGACAATTTATGCCCACCATTATTAGGTGAGATAGAGGTACAGTAGATAATCAGGGGTGAATTTTGTTAAGGGTAAATGTGTTTTCATATAAGTCTGTATAACATATAAATCTGTATGTATTTGGATCTGAGCAAAGTGCAGGCGTTTTATCTTTTCAATACAGATTTCTGACTCTTGTATGTTTCCGAGTTGTTGGATCTGGTGCTAGATCTTTGTTCTGTTGAACTTGTACAGGGCCAAGAGGCAGTTTATTTCCAGGACAACAACAACTGTTCTCTGTGTGTGACAGAACCATGAGGCAGAGGGTTTCTCCTCATGAGAAATCACTTCATTGAATTTTTTATAATCTTTAAGTCTGTTTAAAACTTAGAAAAGAAAAGCATGCATTCAAAAGCATTTAGTTGTTTGTTTGGTTTATAGGTTGAACTGAATTTAATTTTTCAAAGTCTAGATAAGTGACTTGACCTGATTGCTGATGAACATGACAGAAATTGCCTTGAAAAGATCAAGACTAAAATCCCTGTTACTACAAAACATGTTTGAAACTATAATACATAATTGACTTCCTTTGTTTGGTGTGATTCTGCAAAAACTGAAATGGATATTGAAATCTGGTATACATTCTGTGGGAAAATCTAAAAAATTCTCTACAAAATTTTGTTTCCATCATTTTAAGACTGAAATCATTTTTGGTCCATCTTTTGGAAGTTATAATGAGCTGGCACACTGGTACCTGCCTGTAAGAGGGAGGCTGAGGCAGGAGAATCACAGGTTGAAGGCTAGCCTACACAGTTTGGTGAGACCTTGTCTCAAAATAAAAAATACAAATGGACTGGAGATGTAGCTTAGTGGGAAGGTCTTGGGTTAAATCCCTGGTATTCTCTTCCCCAAAAAAGTTATGATGGAAGGTTGGGGATATAGCTCAGTGGTAGAGTACTTCAATTCCCTGTGCTGCAAAAATGGAAAGGGAGAAGAGTAACAGTTATATTCAATTTTATATTATTTGTGTCTTTAATACCATCATTTCCACCAACTTTCTCCCAGCCTTGGGAGAAACTAGTTTCTAGATTCTGCAGAGGATCAGAATTGGAATAGACAGAAAATGATAGAGATTGATCAGCAGGAGGAAGGTCCTATGTGGATTTGATCTAATATTAGGAATGTAATGTGGATACAAGAAGAACTAACGGATGGCCCGTTGTACAGGACTGGATGCAGACCAGGGCTAAATAATGCCATGGCGTTACCACACTCACAGGTGCCTTCTGTGTGCACTGTTGTACGGGATGGGCTGTTTAGCCTAGTGAAAATTTCTAGCTACTTGCACATTTATAATGTGTTTGTAAACAAGGTAATTCCTCGTTGTTTTCTAGAAATATGGGATAAAGGAATGATTTAAAGTTGGCAATAAATTTATGACTGTGAGTGGAGAACAAACTTGGGCACTAAAGATTGGGTGTTGATTATTGAAAAACAATTTTTGCAATCCAGATGGTATGTGGAAAAATTTTACATTGTAATATAAAAGATGATTTGCCTGATTTAGGTAAGAGTTCCTTTGTGTTTTCCTCGAGGGCTGGGTGCCATAGTTGCAGGGCAGGTGTTAGCATTCTAGCTTCTTTTTAAAATTTTTATTAGTACCTGTTTGCAATTCATGCAGTTTACAGTCATTGTGGGGGTGGTTACATGTACACAATACAACTTGTTTCTTTCTTTTTTTTTACTTCTACTTTCATTTCCCTTCCCTCACCCCTGGTCCCTAGTTCCCCTATCCCCTTTTTGATATTATTTGTCTTAACTCATGTTATGGTATATAGTGTTTAATTGGTGCTCCTAGGTTCCTGTATGTGGTGTGTCTATAGTCTTATTTTCCCTTTCCCTCCTCCTCACCCCTCACTTGCTCTTGTTCCCTTGGACCACTTCCCTTTTATGAGCTCTGGCTCTTTGTCCCTTATCTATCCTCTAGTATTACTTGACATTATATTTTCTAGTGCACCTATTTTCCTGCAAATATCTCAAATGTGTAATTACTTATAGCTGAGTAGTATTCCATTATGTATAGATACCACATTTTGTTTATCCAGTCATCTCTTGATGGGTATTCCAGCTGTTTCCAGGATTTAACTATTATGAATTATGCTGCTACTATAAATATTGGTATGCCTGTATCCCTGCAATATGATTTCTTAAGCTCTTTGGAGAAGATACCTAGCAGGGCATTAGCTGGGCAACATGGAATTTCTAATTTCACTTCTTTGAGAAATCTCCATGCTTATTAACATAATGGCTGTACTAGTTTACATTCCCATCAGTAATACAGGAGTTCTTCCTTTTTCAGTCTAGCCATACCAGCATTTGTTATTGTTAATTTCTTAATGATAGCCATTCTTTCTGCAATAAAATGGAATCTTGCACTTTAACTTGCACTTCTCTAGTAGCTAGAGATGCTGAACATTTTTTCATGTATTTGTTGACCATTTGTATTCCTTCCTCTGGGAAGCAACTGTTCATTTCTTTTGCCCATTTCTTAACTAGGACTTTAATTTTGGGTGGTTTAATTTTTGGTTCTTTTCATACTTGAGATATTAGTGCTTAGTCTGAAGAGAAGCTGGCAAAATTTTCTCCCTTTTCAAGGTTGTCTGTCCACTGTACTGATTGATTCACTTGCTGTATAGAAGCTTTTTAATCTGATATAATCCCTTTTGTTGATTCTTGCTGCTATCTCCTATGCAATTGAAGTTCTGTTTAGGAAAGCCTTTCCTACACCACATCTGTGTCTTCAAATATTTTAACTATTTTACTTCCAGAAGATTTAATGTTTCTGTTTTAATGTTTAGATTTTTGATCCATTTTTATTTTAATTTAATATATGATGAGAGATAAGGGTCCAGTTTCATTCTTCTGCAAACAGATAACTAGTTCCCCAATACCACTTGTTGAATAGGCTATCTTTCTTCCAATGTAATGCTTTTGGACTCTTTATCAAAGATCAAGTAGTCGGTCTGGGGAGGTTTCCGTAGTCTCAGTTCTGTTCTGCGATCCACATGTCTATTTTTCTTCTATTACCATGCTGTTCTTATCACTATAGCTTTGTGCTATAGATTAAGTCTAGACCACTTTTGTGCTCTTATGAAAAATTACTTTTGCTTCTCTAGGTCCTTTCTGCCTGTATATGAATTTTAGGATTGTTTTCTCTGTATCTGTAAATCATTCCAGCTTCTTGCAGCAGCCAAGGACCAGGCTTACACTCCATCCTTGTAGCTACTTGGGAGTTTGTCCATTATTGTTCTTGCATCTTTAACATTGATCGCTGCCTCTTCTCATCCTTGTCCTTGTAGAAATAGATATTCCTCCTATCTGCCCCTTGGACATGCTTGGACTTAGTGTAGATGGCTGTATAGTTATATAGTTTTTTTTTTTTAACTTTTATCTGGGTTGAAAGGTGCATTGGACAAGGTGCATAAGTGTGGCTTGTGCCAGACAAACTAGAGAGTATGGTTATGCTGGTTATGGCATGTACTTTGCATCCCTGAATACACAAACTACCAGTAACCATTGGCATATTATATGTACCTAGCAAGCATTTGTTGATTGAAGGAGGAATAAGTGTAGACGGCTAATATGTATTTACTTGTACAATAAAATGTACTTTTCTGTTTTGTTACAGCTGGTAATGCTGCTGTTATCAAATATGAGGAGAATCCCTCAAAACCAGCATTTCAGAATGGCTCAGGATCCTTATGTGTGAAGACTTTGGTACCCAGAGCTCATGTACATTTGCTAAAACCTCCTCCAAAAGGTATTGTCCTCATTGTGGGTAGACAGAGAACAAGGCTTTTAAAGTCATTGGCTTGTAAAAAGTTAGATTTTGGCAATTAAGTAACAGTATAATTAAAAGGTTTTGTTTGTTTTAAATTCTGTTGAGCAAGGAGATATAGCACATTTTTACGTCAAGGGACTTGTTCTTGTTTTGAGAATCTGTAGCCTCAATGATAAATTATTTATACACATATATCCGGGGACAGAACAAAGGTAGTAGGTAAAAAAATCAGAACTAAGTGATCACAATTCTTTAAGTACTGAGATAGAAAAAAGTGGAAAAGCATGATTTACTTTCCATCTCTAGCAGTGTTTATAGTTATTACTTTATCGTCTCTGGCCCCAAACCGTGTTTTTTTCCCTCTGTTTTCTGCTATTTCATCTTTCCTGTGTCATTCAGTTTGTAATTGTTATGACTACGAAGAATAATATTCAGGTTATGTAATAAACAATTTTCATGCAATTTTAACATGTGTGTGAGGTGCATAGTAAGTTTTTTATGCTTGTAGTGAATAGAAAAATTGCTTTACTGAAATAATAATTGTAAATGAGAAATCAGCTCATGAAATGCAGCCCATATTTATATTAGGGAACAGGAAAACAAGCATGAATCTTCCTTAATTCTGTCAACCACCAGTTGCCATTGCATTTTCTTCTAAATTTTTTTCCTTCTCCATATAAACATCTTTCTTTTTACTTTTTTGTTTTTTAGTTGAGGTTTTCTTTTTTTGTTTTTGTTTTTGGTGCCATGGACCTAACTCAGGGCTTCCAGCTTCCTAGGCAAGCATTCTACCGCTGATGGTTCTATTTTTGTTCAACAAAATCATCAGCATAGTGTATACACTCTACAATGTCTTGCTTTTTAATGAATTATAGTGTGTCATGAAAACTTTTTACTTTAAATGCCTATTCTCCAACTCTTTGGTTGTCATGTTTTAGTTATATTGTGCAGTTTCTGATTTTCCTTGTGCAGTGTGATAGAGACAAACGTCTTTAACGTGATCATTGTTTCAGCTTCTAATTTCCTCCGTGGGATCTTCCTAGGTTCCATTGTGTGAACCTGCTGGAAATTGTTAGCATATGTTGCAAAGTCACTTTCTCGAAAGGTATTACTGTAAGAGCAATATGAGAATGTATGTTCCTCAGCATTCTCATTAACGTGTGTGTGTGTGAGAGAGAGATAGAGAGATAGAGAATATATATCTTGTGATAACCTGAGGTTACTGACCTATTTAATGTGCATCAGCACTTTTTTTTTCCTACTGAATTGAAGCAAAAATAGGCATGAATATTGGAAAAGAGATTTTTCTTGTGTCGTAGAGTTTTTTGGTACAGGGTCTCACTCCGCAGTTTGGACGCCCCAGCAGCTGGGATTATAGGTGTGTGCCACCACACCCAGACTCCATGTTGGCTAAGTACATCCCAGAGGTGGCTCTTGTGTTACAGATTCTTATTTGTTCAGGCTCTGAAGTGTCAAGTGGTCCCTTGCAGGGATGACAGCAGGATGTAAAACTGGGGTTTTCATTCATGATCATAAAGCCACACAATCCATACAGCAGTAGCTAAAAATAGACATTGTCAAACTTTGATACTATAGTAGCTTTCAGAAAAGGAAAACTTAGAGATCCCACAGATAATTTTGTACAACAGGAACCTCTTGTCTTGTCTTGTCCTTGTCCTTGTCCTTGTCTCTGTCTCTGTCTCTGTCTCTGTCTCTGTGTCTGTGTCTGTGTCTGTGTCTGTGTCTGTGTCTGTCTGTCTGTCTGTCTGTCTGTCTTTTTCGTTTTATGTATTTGGTACAGGATCTCACTACACAGCTCAGACCCATAATGATCCTCCTATTTTCATTCTCCCCAGTGCTGGGATTACAGGCGTGTACCACCACACCTGGACTCGGTCGCTAGCTCAGCACACCCTGGGAGAGGGGCCAGAGTGGCATGTGGTACCAGGGTTCAGTCCTTGCCAAGCAGTCACTATCTCTCTGGCCCTCCTCCAGTATTTTCAGATGACTTCACAATTGAATTTGTAAAAATTTTATTATTACAAAGGTTTTATTTCAGTGAGAATCAGTGCTTTCCATTTATAACGTCTACGCTGACGTATTTTGAGAGCTTACTGCAGATATAAAATCCCACTGATAGAACAAGGTGGCTAGTTCTAAGTAATAGTCTGCAGAGACTTACATGTTGTAACTATTTGATGTCAAGGAGAGTCACTCATAGCTTTCCTTTACTGTATAGCTCTGTGCCTATTGCCACTCCTGGTTGGATTTGTAGTGTATTAGTTTGGAGAAAAAAGGATGTTATTCTTCTCTGCTGAGTAAAAATTGGTTTTGGAAAGTGCACACTAGTGAGTGTCTTTCATTAAGTCTGGCCCCTTCCCTGCCACCAGCAGTAGAATGATATGTTTATTCATGAGTGTGTGAATGCATTACTATTAAAAAATGAACATTAACTGGTTTTGCCTGAAAAAATATGGTGGTGTGTCCATTAAAATTGATCGTCTCTAACTTGTGAAAGCCATATCAGTCTTAATTTTATTTGGAGTATTATTTTATACTTGAAACATACGTGTAAGTGTTGATTTCACTGCAGTGGTATTTCCTATTCAGAATCTAACATTTGGAGAATTTTTGGATTGCTTTTAAAAATAAAGCCACTCTTGACAATTTTTAATGTGATATTTCCAACAAAATTTATGTGTATTACATATATATATTTCTTTCATATTTTAGGTCCTTCAAGGAAAAGTATATTTACATCTTTCAATGCAGGTGAGTGGCCACCTTAAATATGAATGAGGAGAAAGGAATCTCTCTTTTGCAGCATCATATTATGAAAGCATCATGTTATTTAGCTTTATTTATAGTGAAATTTCATTGTTATACTTGCAAGCAGATTTCAAGTTTGAGCTATGAATGACTGGTTAGAACATGTAATAGCAAAACATTAATAACTGCTCAGTAGCTTAGATTTTTCTTTTCTTCGTTTGGGCATACTTTCATCTCTAAGACAAATGTGAAGCTTCCACTAGTGGAATTAAATCTTTTGCCTCTTTAGAAGCCACATAATGTGTTCACATAATGTATTCATTACAAATCCTGTGTTATATGTAGTTCATCAGATTCCCTGAGTACTACCTACATTCTCTTATGTGCACTTATAAAACAGCTCTGTGGGCAGAGAGAAAGGTGTGATTTCCTCGTATTGCTGTCCTGTGACCCTGTCGGACATCCAGGGTGCAGCTGTACGACTAAAATGAACAAGGGCCTTGTCCTCAGGGGTAGTTGAAGAATCACGCAGATGGACAGGAATCAAAACGAAAGTGATTTCTAGGGAAGGAAGGCTGTGTGCTCATGGGAGAGGCCCTAAAGGAAGGGTGCACTCTAGTGAGAGAAAACCAAGCAGGAAGGACAAGCTGGAGAGCGTCCTCTATAAAGAAGACAGAGCCATAGCCACTGCTCAGGGAATAACTAGTATCTTTACTCTGCTGACTATATTCATTTTTCCTCAGTTTAGAGAGGAAGGTGTGAAGGAATTACATGAAATTGTTAATCTTTTGTAAGTTCCTAAAGCTATAGAAAACTCTGACATGCAGAATTATTAAATTCTAAAGGTACCCAATAGCCTGAGTTTGAATATATATGGTTATTCAAGTGAAGTTTAAAAAAACAGAAATTGTTCTGTGAAGATTTTAGCTTTTATATTCTTTTGTTTCACATTTCTAACACAGCTTAATATTTAGGAGGAAAAAGAATAGCTCGTATTCTATAGAATAGCTTCACTTATGTTGGAAAACCAATTACTTATTATGAGAAAGCTGGATTGTACGGTAACTTTGTAACAGCTTGAGAAACTTCCAAAGAGCCCATACCACTTTGTATTTTTACATCTTCTTTGAAGAAATGTCTATTCAAATCCTTTGCCCATTTTAAATTGGATTATTTGTTGTTGTTGAATTGTAGTTCTTTATTCCAGATATTAGATCCTTATCAGAGATAAGTTTGATGGATACTTGTTCCCATTTTGTGAGCTGTTTTTCATTTTTTTTGATAGTACCCCCTGAAGCATAAATGATATTTATTTATTTATTGTTGCATACTGGGGATTGAACTCAGGACCTTGAGCTTACCAGGCCGGCACTTACACCGTTGAGCTATCTCCCTGGCCCTCATAAATATTAATTTTAGTCAGATCCATTTTTTTCTTTTCTTTATGCTTTTGGTGAAATAGAAGTCAGAAAGATCTATGCCTTTTCTTCTAAAACTTAACACAATTTTAACTCTAACTGTCTTTGTTTCAAGTTAATTTTTATAAGGTACTAGTCCAGCATCATTCTTTTTCATGTGATGTGAAGTTGTTATACAAACATTTTTCTTTAAAATGTCTTGGCAATTTGGTAAAAAATAATTTCTCTAATTATGAGGTGCTCTCTCTGGATCCTAAATTATATTGTACTGATCTGTGTGTCTATCTTTGCCGATTGTATACTTCCATGATTATTTGATGTAGTACGTTTCAAAAGCATGAAGTACCAGTCATCCAGACTTGTTGTCTGGGTCTCAAGTTTCTCATTTGGCAGCGCAGATATTTAGGGAGTCATTCCCAGGATGGCAATATTTTTGACACACTAAAAGTTTTACACACAAGCACTTCAAATGGTAGCAAGTTCTGTTGCTAGGGGTCATGATGGTGATAATCCTTTCCATTGTGCTTATACTTCTGTTAGCTTTTCAGAATTCTTTTCCAGGAAGTTGAATTATTTTAAATCCTTAATGCAGGCAGAATAAACCACTTAAAGTAAAAAAACCCACCTCCTTGGGGTCTAGCTCTTATAATTTATTTAAAGGTTATGATGCTACAAGATTCTAGGCACCACTGACTCTAAATAAAACATGGCTTACTGTTTATAAAGAAGATGTCACACATACCGCAGCATTCTATTATTACCTTGGTTCTGTCGCACAGAGAAGCGGTTTGGGATGCCAGAGGCATAGGAATCGTGTGTATCCAGCACCCTGACTTTTTCCCCACAAGATCATCAGTCCCAGGGGCTGTCGTGTCTGCCTTGGAAAGTAAAGCTGCCCCACTCTTTCTGTACCCTGTCAGCATAGAGCACTGGGGAGGGCAGCTCCTGGTGTCTCCTTTTCCCATGTGTTGGGCAGGGGTTGAGAAGAGTAGGCCTACTCTTGCGAGGTGACACTGCTGCTGCTGGGCGTGTCTTCCACTGTCACCTGCTGATCCCCATAACTTGCCTCCATAATCAAAAGGCACGTGCTGCTTAGAGATGTGATAAATTTTGTGTTTCAAATTGGTATGGCGGAGGGATAGCCATGAAATAAGTCTTCTTGGGACATTGACTTCCTTTTAAGCAGGAACTTCTATTCCATATGAATTCGTTTTGAGCACAACAATTATACTAAAAACACTAAGGATACAGATGAGTATAAAAGGCCTTCCAGAAAATTGATTATGAGAAATGTTTTAAGCTTCCCCTTTGTGAAAATCACTATAAGTAGTATTTATGCTTATGTATACAGGTGATTGAACATAAATTAGAACACGCAGACATATGGCCAAACACTTCTACCTAGGAATTCCATTAGCAGAATTAATGCTAGAAAAGTGATTGATTTACTAACTTATTGCTTTGTAAAATTACTTAAAATCAGGGAAAATTTGAAACAGCTGAGTGTCATACAAGTATTTGAATTGTGTTCATTGATGACAGTTTGATGTCATTAAATGGTTGGGTGACATACTGAAAGCCGTCAGGATAATGACAATGGTGCCAAATCTGTGGCTTGCCACAGCTGGCTGTTTGCAATCATTGAAAGCTATAAAAGGTTCGCCATCACTGATATGGGGTTATTTTATACCTTGTGAAGTTAAGTGGAAAGTTTTAAGTTTATCATTCCGTATTAAGTTTAAAAACCAGTTGCAGGGCAGAATGTGGTATAAGTAATTCAAGCTTTACAGTATCTTTATAATAATTGTATAGTGAACATGCGAAGGCATGTATAACAAAGAAAAATAATCTCCCCAATCATTGCTGAAGTTCTGATATACTTTTTTTTTTTTAATGTATGTAGTACAAGGCCTGCAGGGCCTCACTACACAGATCAGACTCCTAGTGATCCTCCTGGTTTCAGCCTCCCAAGCACTGGGATTACAGGGGTGCACTGCCACACCTAGTGTCTGTCCCAGTCTCAGAGCTCCCCGGAGGTAGGGCGGGTACAACATGCTGGGGATCAAGTCCCAGTCCCTGTGTCTGCCTAAGCAGGTGCTTTGTTATTCATATTTGCTTCAGTGTTCTTGAAGTAAAATTTGAGATCATAGTTTTATTTTTCCACTCAACCTCCTGACATAAGCTCTGCTGTGCTTTATGAACCCTTATGTCTAATTCTTGTCATTGTGAACTGTTCCATTTTAAGCACCAAGTTTCCTTGACTTTTTTCACCCTACTGTCCTTGGTAAGCCTTGTCATATTTATTTAAATTAAGAATTTGTGAAATAATAATGTTACACTTTTTATGTATTTCTTTTTAGAATAATTTCAGGAAATATAGATAGAAGTAATGAACTGATTAAAAAACTTCTGTGAACCAGGGCCAGCCAGATAGCTCAGCAGATTAAAGCACCTGGCCTTCAGCTGCGCCCCCAGGGCATGCTGAGATGGCAGTTGAGACTGGATGTGGTGGTGTGCACCTGTAATCCCAGCACTTGGGAGGCTGAAAACAGGAGAATCACTACGAGTCTGATCTACATAGTGATACCCTTAGACCCTACCCTAAATTCTTTAAAAAAATGAAATTTTGTGAACCAATTCTGTTTTATCTACCCAGTATTCATTATAAAAATAGTTGAAATCTTAAAGTACTTACTAGATCATTCAAATGAGTAAATGGATGCATAGCACAGCCTAGAATAGACTGTAAACATTGGCTGTTCCCTAATGGCCTTGGATGGCCACCAGGGGGCAGACTGTACTTGTGAAAGAAGTGGAAAGGAGCGTTTGTTTTATCTAAGCATGGATACCTCTTTAGTTCTGGGTGGGTACTGTTGGATACACAAGTACTACTTTGACTCTTGAGTTTTCCTTCTCACTGGCATTATTTCCTTTCTTTCAGTTTCTTGATCTGCTGTTTATAAAAAGATCATTAAGAGCATCACATTTAATGTATATGGAATAACTTAGTGTAGTTCCAGTAAAAATTTTAATGAATATGACTAATTGGTGACTAGATTGTTTAGGATAAAGATTTCCATTTGACGGGGATAATTTAGAGTTTAGTATTAAGAATGAAGTTCCCTAAAATCCAATCCTCCCACCCCAAGAAATCACTTTAACTATATGGACTATGGTGTGTCTATTTGTAATAATATCAATATTTGATTTTATTCTATTTGTGGTTCCAATGCTGATTGATATGTTGGTTTTCTATATGGTTTTGATGTATATAGGAAGAGGGTACAGTAGGTTTTAATATTTGAAAACTAAAGGGAAATGTGTTTGAATAAACTACAAGTAAGCTACACCTAAAGGTAGGATTTCTTGACTTTAATTCCTTGATGACGTGTGCTTTCATTGTCATGGACGTGATGTGTCAGAAGATTCAGGGCATGAACACATTATGTTCTCAAGGTTGACCCTGGACAGGTTATTGGGTTGATGGTTCATGCTAAGTGCAGAGGGAGAGCGAATTTTCCTTTCTTGTATCCTCTCTTCACATTCTAGAACTTCTATAGAATTACTAAAGGAATAACTGCTTCT